CTGAAAAAAAAGAAGAAAAAAAAAACAACCAACTTGTTTTGGTCTGATGTGGGTAATGCCCTCTCTCTTTGCTTTATCAGGAGCGGGGCACATTCAGAGCCTCGCCCTACGGCTGCACGCATTACTGTCTACCTTCCTCGACTTTGCTGTGCCACTGTCCTCATTCTTTATTTCTTTTCTCTTCCCATAAATAGCTCCCCAGATTTTGTTTCCCGAGTCTCTACTTTATTTCCGCCTCGTAGGGAGAAGTTTGAAACGTTTGGGAGAGCGCGTCCTAGAGAAAAGTCCAGGAAAAGTGGAAGAATGCTGAATGTGTTCCGTGATGACCTCATGGCACTCATTACACAGGAATTCAGGGCTCCGGCAGAGCAACGAAAAGAGTGGGCCAGTTAAGCAGATCTGCCTGGTTTACTTGGCGCAAACCATAAAAAGAAATCAGTATCTCTCTCCACCTTCTGGAGCCTCCAAAGTCCCCTCCTGGCTGCGGCGGTCAGGCCGAGCCTGGGGTCCCCAGTGGTGAGCCTGTAGAAGGCTGTCCAGCTCCAGTCCTCCCGGGGCCTGTCCATCAAGCTCGGAATGAACTGAACCTTCTCACCGAGACTTGCAACACCCACATGCTTTGCTTTTCCAGGGTAAGAGCAAATACAAGGGGAAAAATAAGGCTTCATTCCCCTGCAGAAACTAAGGATAGAGAGTCCTCTCCCCCTCCCTGGTCTTAGGGCATTTGCTTTAGAAAACATGTAAACTCTTTGTCTGTTTGAAATGTATGTGAGTCTTTTGAAGGCGAAAGAATCCTCTTGCCAGCCCCGGGAAGGTCTTTCTCCAAGACTCTGGAAGCATCTCTTTGAAATGTGATCAAGGAAGATAGCACCCCCAGCGCCCGGTTTCTGTGGGCGGGCAGGAGCCTAGTTTATTTCGCTTTGTTTAAAGCCAGTGAGCCCACACAGATGGTCTCCCCCGACCCCCCGAGGGGAGTTAGGATGAACTCCACGGGCCAGATGCGCTGCGAAGCCCTCTTACAGGAGGACTCGACCCTGTTTATGTTGTGGACATGCTCTCTCTCGGCTGCAGCCAAGGGCAGGGTTTCTCTCTGTCTTTGCTTATCTCTTAGCGGATTGCCTACAAAAGCCCTTTGAATCCTGGTGTCAGGTTATTCAACAGGGAAAGTGTTTTCTTTCTCGTGCATCTCTGCCAGGAGGGTTTTGGGTGGGGAGATTTGTTTTGAATTCCATTTTCCCAACTCTAGCTGCACCCCCGCCCCCACCCGTCCCTCTGTTGGCTCAGCCCCAGCCAGGCATTTGGTCCCTTTCTGTGCCAAGCAGCTTCCAACTCGGGTTCCTGTCCCTTAGGCTCATCCCGGTGTCTGCCCGTATCTTCCTGGTGGCCTGCCTCCTTCCTTCACCTGCTCCCTCCCCCGAGTGGCTGTCCCTGACCACAGCTCTCACCGCCCGCCCCCCCCCCCCCATGTTTTCCCTTCACAGAACCCACCCCTGTCTGTTTATCAGAGTCTCATCAGCCTCTCTGCCCGCAGGCAGCCTCTGGGAGGTCAGGACTTTATCTGCAGCCTGCAGCACCAACAGAGCCCAGTGTTGGGGAACTGTCTTCAAAGATCAGTCTCCTGCCAACCCAGAGAAGCCTCTCCACAAAGCTACCTTCTACACAGCGATGATTAACGCTGCAGATGGCGGTTGGCCATTACCTCTCAGCCTCTCGTCTCTGGGCTGGCGGAGGGCAGAACGGAGTTTTCCCGCTTACATCACATCCTCAGCCTTCCTGGCGCTGCCTTTTTAACGTTTATTTATTTTTGAGAGACAGAGACGGAACACCAAAGCAGGCCCCGGGGTTCCGAGCTGTCCGCACGGAGCCCGACGTGGGGCTCGAACCCACGAACCGTGAGATCATGACCCGAGCCGAAGTCCGACGCTGAACCGACTGAGCCACGCAGGCGCCCCCCCGCCCTCCCCGCCCTGGCACTGTCTTTTGTGCTGTCCATGTCCCACGTTTTCTGGGGGCCTCGCTAGCCATGTTGGGAGCACTACCTGGGAAACCTTTTTGCGCTCAGGCTGGTCAACCCTGCCCCGTGCCCCCAGGGAAGGCCCTGTGTGTCTTGCCCTACGGTGATCTCTCTCCAAGTGTGAAATAAACAAATGCTCTCATGTCACATTTCTTTCAGATAGTGCTTGTCACCAGGACGCTGGGCCCGCAGGGCACATTCACCTTCCCACCAGACGAATTTCTCCACGAGGAGAGAACGTGGGAAGGCTAGACGCTCTCCCATGTGCTGAGGAAGGGTAGGCTGTGATCTTAGGAAATGAAGGAAGATTCTTCTTTGATAGTGAGTCTCCGGAGAACAGGAAATACTGTCCCTGCACCCGGAGACTAAAGAAACGTTGTCGCGGAGGTCCATCAGGGTCCACCTGGCCTTTCTAGCCGCCTCCACAAATACCGCCGTAGCCCAGATGGCTCCCCACAGGCTGCCTGATCCAGACCCAGTGTTCCAAGACGAGCACGCCGCTGACCGTGACCGCCCGGGAGGTAGGACATTGTGTCTGGAAGAGAGGCTATCTAAGCGCAAGAGTGAATGCTTGCCCAGGGCACCCTCAATCATCAACTCCTTCATCAGACAACAAAGGCTCAGGACTTAAGACTCTATTTTGGGGGGGCACCTGGGTGGCTCAGTCGGTGAAGCGTCCGACTGGCTCGGGTCATGATCTCACGGTTCCTGGGTTCGCGCCCCACGTCGGACTCTGTACGGACAGCTTGGAGCCTGGAGCCTGCTTCGGATTCTGTGTCTGTCTCTCTCTGCCCCTCCCCTGCTCACTCACTGTCTCTCTCTCTCTCTCTCAAATATACATAAAACATAAAAAATTTAAAAAACATATATATATATATATACTAAAACCCATTGAATTGTACACTTAAGTGGATGAACTAGACACTATCTATAAATTATATCTCAATCGGACTGTTTTAAAAAAAAAGTTTGGAGTGGGCCTGGTACAGAAAATGGAATTAGAGAAGGCAGGACATATACTGGGGCATTGAATGCCGCTTCCCACCGCCCCTAAGACGCTGACCTCTTTCCATTTAACCCAGCATTCCTCTAAGTCATCAAGAGTCTCTTCCAGCAGAGAGGATCCAAAGGTTGAGGTCAACAGTTCTAATCCTGGAGTGATTCCAAGGGACACGCACTCCAGAAACACTGTCGTGCGTCAGTGGAAAAGGCGCATTGTCTACAAGACCTCTCTCCAGCTTAGCTGATTTCAGCCTCCCACGGTCTTTGAACTATTTTACAACTCTGTAAATTGTAGGGAGTTGATAGTCATGCAGATTATGTCCTGTCTATCGGATGCTCCTCCTCTTTGTGGAAAAACCAGTTTTGTCCCCATTTGCAATCATTGTTAACCACCCTTACTCTGTTCTAATTTGTGCCTCTGCGCTTCTCTTTTATGTATTTGCTTATTTTTATTTAAGCTGATTTATTTTGAGAGAGACAGAGAGAGTACAAACGGAGGGGGACGGACAGAGAAAAAGAGAGACAGGGAAGATCCCAAGCAGGCTCCGAGCGACCGGCGCAGAGCCCTGACGTGGGGGCGGCTCGAACTCACCAACTGTGAGATCGCGACCCGAGCCAAAATCAAGAGTTGGTCGCCCGACCGACTGAGCCACCCAGGTGCCCCTGCACTTCTTGGAGATCAATATTACATCTGCCCGGTTTGCTTACGCGTGGAATAAAACCTTTAACACATGTTCGCGTTTCATATCCGCGGGAGCGTCGCAATCTTACCTTTTACCGAGAATGATCATTTACCAACTTTATCTGCACGGAAGATCTCGTGCATCCTGTCAGCTGACGCATAAACTCTAAAGTCAGAGGCTTTTAAAAGGAGAGGGAAGTTTGTCCACCTTACCTAATGCGAAACCGTGGTGATGGCCGGAAACCCATTCGGAAAGTCTGTTTCCACTAGAACGCGTGTTTCTCTGGATCTCACTCTGTGCCCGGCGGCGACGTTGTCTGGAACCCGAGAACCAAGAAGCCAGAAGTCTGGATGGTCTGCCACCCCACCCCCCACCCCCTCAGCGGGCTTCGAGGGCTCCCAGTTCCACCCACCGCTGAGGGGGTGAGCAGCACAGACCGTTGTTCGGTGGCTCAGCTCGCGCCCAGGAGCCCACTTAGATCTCTCCGCGCTGTGGAAGGCAGAGAGAAAACACTGGCAGCCAGAACCTTCTCCAAGAGCAGGGGGCGAGACGTAAGAGATGCTTCGTCGCAATCAGACCAGTGCCAAGGGTAAGCCAGCGCCCTCCCCACGCGCGGTCCGTTTGCCTAGCATGGCGAACGGGCACCAGGGCGTCGGGCGATTGCTCGTGCCAAGTTCACGGGCGAACTCTGGTCAATTAAGGGTCGGTGAAGGCGGAGAGTTAGAACTTAACCCGGGTCTATGCAGACAGTGTTTGTAGAATCAGTGTATAGGGTCGTTTGCAGGTGAGGTGTGTTCAGAGAGAGAGAGAGAGAGAGAGAGAGAGAGAGACTGAGTCAGCACTGAGAGGCACTTGCCTCCTCGTTCCCAGCCCCTCCCCTGGAACAGTGCCATGCGTCCCGGCGTATGGCAAGGGGCAGAGGAAGCCCACGCTGCATCTCTATTCCTGGCAGCCACTCAGAAGCATGTTCTCACTCTTTCCATCCTGCCTGGGGAAGGTGGTTTAAACATTTATTGGTGCGTGCCCTGGGTGAAGGCCAAGGACGTTGGGTACAGGATGGGAGGCTGTCCGAGGCCTCCGAATGCACCCGGCCGTGTGTGAGCCATGAACCCGGGTCCCGCGACCTTCAGAGCTGAGGATCGCGAGCCATTTCGGCTGCTGGATAACCCCTGTGTGATTCAACATCCTGTAAGCGAGAGTTTGAAAAGTACTAACCCACCGGACTTGACCGAGGGCTGCGTCTCTGAATTTTCTAAGTCTTCTACACCGGGTCTTGGTATCACTTCTCTGAGCTACACATTTCCCCTAGGCCTCACGCCTTTTGTTCTTCCTATCAAAACAGAGTTAATGATTTCTCAGAGGCGTCGTTACTCCGCAGATAAGGATGCCATCTGTAGGTCAGTCGGATGGGTCCCCGAGAGCTGAGGGCTCCCTCCGCGAGCTGGGGCAAGCCGCCTGCTCTCAAAGGCGATGTCCCCAACCGCAAAAGGGGGGTTGATAACAACGCCTAGCGGCTCGGGCGTCTGTGAGGGCGGTCCCACATGCGCACCGTTCAGAGTGCCTGGCTCAGAGCTCTCGCCTGCACCCATGCCACTCGTTGCTGTCATGGCCATGACTCCGGATGAGAAGCCGGGAAAGTTGAGCCGACTGACGGTAAATCAGCGGTTCTCGACTTGGCCGCGTGTCGGGATCACCTGGGGGAACTCAAAAAAATACCCCTGCCTGGGAGAAGAGCCACCCCTGGGGGTTGCGGCTTCGTTGGTGGGGGTTGCAGTCTGGGCAGTGGATGTAGCAAAGCTCCCAAGTGATTCTAATGCGCACCCAGGACTGAGAGCTACGACCCTGAACAGTTTGCAAATGAGATGTTCTCGCAGCTCTGGTCTACGGCTGCAGAACGTTCTTTTAGGAGAGACTGCTAGAAGGTCTTAAAGCCAACCAGATTCCCTGTACCTTCCTTATAAAGGTCATGTTGAACGTGGGGGCCGTTCAAGGCTCTCCCAGCGTCTGCACTTGTCCGGGGTCCCCAAGGGTTTGGAACCTGATAAAAGCGAGGTTCCCTGTGACGTGTGCATGTTTCTCATAAAGTTCTACATGCAGAAATTTGGCTTCAGCGACAAAGAAAAGGAAAGCAAACTTGTTTGAACAAAAGGAGTTTCTCTTCCTTCGAGCCACGCCAGCTTGTAAGCCTCCACAAAGCAGGGAAGGCAGCTCCTCCTTTCGCTCGCAGACACTGATAGACTCCGTGCCTACCAGAGTGGTTCACCGTCAAGACAAACGGCGTGCACTCCCTGGCCAGGAGTCCTAAGCCCTTAAACTACCTGCGGTCCACATCGAAGCTCCAGGATATGCAGAACTTTCTCGCAGCACCCGAGCCACCACCATGAGGACCTGCCTGCGGAGACCCAGTCGTCTGGGCCAAGCGGTCCAATGGCTCTTGCTTTTGGCCGTGTTGATCTCCTTATTCTTTGTCCTGCCCTCCCTTGTTAAGGAACCCGACACGAAACCTTTCAGGTAAGGTTCTGGTCCCTGTCCCAATGCCTCAGAATTTATTAGAGGAAACTTGAAAGCCTCTCGTCCAGGGAAGCCTGGGGAACCTGCTGCACCCACACGGGGGTCGGCGGGGGTCAGGGATGTTGTCAAGAAACACTGGCAAGAAAGATCCCAGGGGGCCTCTGGGGGACAAGCAGGTGTCAGGGGTGGGAAAACCAAGGGGTCCGGATGCCTTGGGGCTGGTAGAGGGGAAAGGTGGGCAGGAGTCTGAGAACGAGGAGTCTGGGTCTCTGGAAGGTATAGACAGAAAATGCCTTCCCCCTCTGGGACCGTGAATGCTAATAGCAGCTTTGGGGTGAGTTCTTACATGCCATTCGCTGGGTCCTAAAGCACAAGATTTACCCCGTCGATTCCAGGCACTTCAAATTTTATTTTTTTTAACGTTTTTTTATTTATTTTTGAGACAGAGAGAGAGAGACAGAGTGTGAGTGGAGGAGGGGCAGAGAGAGGGAGACACAGATTCCGAAACAGGCTCCAGGCTCTGAGCGGTCAGCCCAGAGCCCGACGCGGGGCTCGAACTCACGGACCGCGAGATCGTGACCTGAGCCGAAGTCGACCGCTTAACCGACTGAGCCACCCAGGCGCCCCGATTCCATGCACTTCAAAACCACACTCTCCCCGTGGAGTTTGGCCGAAAATGACCTCTCCCCCCAAAAAAACGAAAAGAAAAGAAAAAAGAAAAGGAAAGAAAAGAACCTCTCCCTTCGCTTAATTCTGGCCCCCAAGTTCATCCTTACATACAAATCTAGTCCCATCAGACGCCATCACATCAACTCTGAAAAAGCTACCGTAACAGGTGTGAACGTTGACTCTCTCCTCGGTCACCACACTAGATCACTAATGCTTTTGAAGTTTCTAGAAACTGAGAGGTGAAAATATGTTTCTCTTTTGACTTTGCACTTCTCAGGCCACCATGAATTTGAGGATCCTCTGACGTGTGCTGACCATTTACATTTTTTCTAACTAAGTCAGCCAGCTGTCACCACCACTTGTCTTTTTCTAGGGAATGGCTGGGTCATATCTCTTGCTCCCCCCCCCCCAAAAAAGGAAGCGAAATTATTTCTCTTTTATTTAACGATAGGAGTTTTTTGTGTATTAGGGATATTAACCCTTTTCTATCGTAGATGTAACAATACTTGAAATGTTTTCTTCAGGCTGATGTTTGTTTTTATTGCCTTGTTTGTGCTATCTCACGTGACACAACTCCTTCCTATGTAGGTGAAATCTATTTATCATTTCCTTTATGGCCACTGGACTGTGCAATTTGGGGGAAAGTCTGTCCCACCCCAAAATTTTATAAATTGCCATATATATATAGTGATGTATACATATATATACATTAGTGAATATATATACATTAGTGAACACACAGTGTAGACTTAGGCTCAGGAGTAGAACCCAGTGGTTCATCACTTACAAGTGCTCATCCCAGCGAGTGCCCTCCTTAATGCCCATCGCCCATTTAGCCCATCCCCCCCCACCTCCCCTCCAGCAGCCCTCAGTTTGTTCTCTGTATTTAAGAGTCTCTTATGGTTTGCTTCCCTCCGTTTTTATCTTATTGTTCCTCCCCTTCCCGTTGCCTTCTATATTGTCTACTAATATTTTTGTACTTTTTTTCTTGAAGCTTAAATCGTTAACCTACCTGAAGCCTATTTTTGTGCACGGTGTGAATCTGGGTTTGCATAGGCTGAACTCTTTTGACCACAAGTGACAAAAACCCAACGCAATCTGGCTTAAACAAGAAGACCGGGGAGGGAGGGGCGCCTGGGTGGCTCAGTTGGTTCAACATCCGACTTTGGTTCAGTCCATGATCTCACGGTTCGTTGGTTCGAGCCCCACGTCTGGCTCTGTGCTGACAGTCCGGGGCCTGGAGCTTGCTTTGGATTCTGTGTCTCCCTCTCTCTCTGCCCCTCCCCTGGCTTGTGCTCTGTCTCTCTCTCCCTCTCATAAATAAGTAAACATTAAAGAAAGTTTGTACAAAATAAAAGAAGCCCAGGGAAGGAGAGAAGGTCAGAGGATTACAGTGTACCTGGAGAGACACGTTGGGGTAGGAGTGGGCTGCAGGAGTCACTCATAGTGACCCGGATGCCTGGTCTCCTTCCCCAGCCGATGTCACATGTCCTGGAGTTAGGGGGAGATATAAGCAGACTGGTGCCTGTTTCTGGTCTAGAGATTTCTGAAGGCGGAAGGTGGTGGGAATTGTCCATGGTGTAATGTACATGGGAAGAAGGCTCTGGCCTGGGCCTTCAGAGCCCAGGAGGCTGTGGACGGCAGGTCAGCACTCCTGTGGTGCCAGGAGGGATCACGGTCCCAGAACGCCCCAGTTACCCGCTGGGGCCAAGTAAAGGGACATCCACTCCAGAGAAGCGTTTGGGGACCCCGAATACTGTTGGGGGCATTCATGAGGGGATCCTCAATGCAAAGGAGAGCGCTGCCCCAGGGAAGCCACACTTACTGACCCTACCGAGAGCACCACGTCAGCAGACAGAAGCCACTGGAACCTCAGTGCGAGCGGGGACACCAAGTGCTCCCCACTCTTCCCAAACTTAAGTAATAGTACAGGGGAGCTAGGCCTTCAGAAGGAAGGGAAGGTCTACTCTGTGCCTGACCAGGGATTCTAGCTGCCCCCACCTCCCCCCCCCCCCCCGCCTCACCCCTGCCGAAGCGGGGGGGGGGGGGGGGGGGGGGGAGGCGGGACACCTGGAATTCTTCTAAATGGATGAGACTGAATTTGGGGTTTAGGTGTTTTGCTTTGTTTTTTTAAATCTTTTCTGTAATTGTTTTGTTTTGTTTTGTGTGTGGACGGGGTTTGAATCATCAAAGGTGACTGTGAAGTGAGTAAATCTGCCCTAGGCATCAGAGATAGGGAAAGGGCCACACACTGAGACTTCTCAGTGAAAGTCTCTCCTTACTACACTGCCAATCAACCGCAGAGCAGAGACTGAGCGCCTTGAGCCAGAGGTCCCTGGAGGAAAGGTTGTGTGTCTGTTGAAAGCTTCGTTGAGAAGAAGGACCTCGGAGGCAGGGAGGGCTTGGAAAAGGCTTGTGGGGAGGATAGCATAAACAAGGAGGCCGACCTGCAGAAGTGTCCTCTTGGCTGAGCCTCGGGCGAATCCGAATCCGCCTTGCAGAAATGAGGGGCTTGCTCTGGGGAGCCCAGGGAGGGCATTTCAGGAGGGTGGGGCCGAGGGTTGATGCAAGAGGCTTTCAGGCAGGGAGGCGACCTCAGCAAAGCAGGATTGTGCAACGATTGGTCTGCCAGGAGGGAACAGGATAGATCGGAAGGGAGGTGTGAGTCACAGCTTTGGCCTGACCCAGGGCAGGAACCAAGGGAGGGACTTTGACGGATTATCCTGCGGTGAAGGGAAGGACCGGGGCTGACAAATGCCCTCCCTGGCAGATTTAGGCAGTGAAACATAAGGTGCAGAAGATCTGGGAGGGGTGGGGTAGGAAGAAGCGGAAAATCAGGAGACACTTTGAAGAAGAGCGGGGGGAGGGGAGGCACGTGTGCGGTTAGAGATGGGGTCGGGGTGGGGGTGGGGGTGGCCCACCTCGCCCCACAGTGCCGCCTGGGCAAAGGGTGACAGTAAAATCAGACACAAAAGGGAGTCGTAGAATGCCAACCCAAGTATAGGATCAGCGGTTTCTGAAGGTCCCTGTTCCCAAGTCTGCATGTTAATGACACCTCAATATCATCTCAGAGCTGGAGATTTCCCCAGACCCGCACCTATGCTCAGGAGCTTTCTGGGGATTATTTCCCTTTTTTTTTTTTTCTCCTGGGGGTGATTTCCAATCTTCGCAATCGTCGCCCAAGATCAGCGTTTTTATTCTTTTACACAAATGAGGGAGGTGAGGCTCCAAAAGGCTAAGCCTAATCCCACCCAGCCAGGAAGGAGCAAGACAGAGACGTGAACACGGGATTTGGGCTCCACTACCCGGAACGCGTGCGTTCACTCTCAGGAGACTCAAAGTCCGATGGAGGGGAGAGCCACACAAGAAGCAAGAGAGGGAGGGTGACATTATTAATAGTGGTAAATACCCCCCCCCCCCCCCGATTTAAGTCCAAGGTGACGAGCGCTATGGGAAGAAACTGAGAAGAGTAATTACATCCAGGGGGCAGGGTCAAGACAACATCCTGGTGGCATTTGCAGAGCGCTGGCGGGCTGGGCCACATGGCAGCAGGGGGGACGCCGCGCACTAAGGAGGCAGCAGAAGGAACGGTGCAGAAGCAGGGCCACCGGTGGGGGGGCGGGGCGTGTTCCTCAAGGGACTGATGACTAATGTGAGCAAGGCTGATAGGAGCTCCGCATGCCAGGCACTGGTCTCCAGAACCCATGATTACGGACCACATATCAAGGCTTTTGGGTAGATATTATTATCAGCAACACCCCTCTTTTACAGATAAGAGCGGTTAGGCAACTTTCCCAACCAAGGTCACCCTTGTCACTTAAGTTCAGACACAGGCCAGCTGGCTCCGGAGTCTGTGCTCCAAGCCACGACCCAGGCTGGTGTCACAAGCCCCACCCCCGTCCCTCGGCAGTGTTTTTTCATTTTTTGTTTCTAAAGTTAATTCACTTATTTTGGGGGGGGGGGAGCACAAGCAGGGGAGGGGCAGAGAGGGGGGGGGAGAGAATGCACAGCAGGATCCCGGCTCTCAGCGAAGAAGCCTGACGCGGGGTTCGATCCCACCAATTGTGCGCTCGTGACCTGAACGGAAGTCAAGAGCCGGACGCTTAACCGACTGAGCCACCCAGGCGCCCCTGCGAGGTGGTTTTTAAACGCTTGTTGATGAAAGAGTGAACGCGTGGCCCTTGAGGGACCAACAGTTAGATTCCACGGCTAGGAAAAGCTTTACAGGAACGGAGTAACTTGAATACATTTGTGCATTGTGCAGATTCTTCGGTTAGTAGATTGCACGGCAGACGGTGGGGGGAAGGTGGTCTCCGTGGGGGGCTAGGGTA